AAAAATGTTACTTTAAACGGAAGTCTAAGCACAGATGATCATGGTATTGTTGCATGGGAATGGACAAAAAGTTCGTCAGATCAAAATAAAGCTGTAGATATTCAAGTGATTATYTATAAAAATAAGATATGTTATATATTAACAATGTCTAATTTACATTTAAAAATCTTTTAGGATACACGTACACCATATCCCAGATTATCTAATTTAGAAGAGGGTTTGTACACCTTTGTATTAAGGGTGACTGATAATGCAAATCAAACATCAAGTCCATCAGAAGTACACGTCTTTGTCAAACCACCAACCAATAAACCTCCAGTTGGTATGTTCATTCATTTTTTTATATGTATATTTTACATGTACAACTATAAATAAACATAGTTATTATTTATATAAAAACATATTTTATTAGCCGTGGCTGGTAAAAATCTAACATTATCATTGCCTCAAACTTGGGCATTACTCGATGGTTCAAAAAGTAGTGATGATATTGGAATACAAAAATGGAAATGGCATCAAATTAGGTACAAAGAAAATCTTATATTAATTTTTTTAAATATATTTAAGCCATATAATACTTAAATTTATTACAGTGGTCCATCGAATGTGCGTTTTAATAAAGACAATGAGTCAAGAACAAATGTTACTGAGTTGACTAAAGGTGTTTATGTAATTGGTTTAACAGTCACTGATGGAAATGGAAATAATGCTTCAGACATTGTTAAAATAACTGTGTACCAAAGTAAGATTATGTTTTAAGTGAAATACTATCAAGGAGAGTATTTTAAAGTATTTAAATTTAAAATGTAAAATATGATGTTTTTTATTAAACACGATTCTTCTATTACCTAATAATTGAATCTTCAGTAAATTTTTTATATAATTATTTAATTTAATTACATTTTTAATTCATATAACTCATTTTTTTAATAACCTCATAACTAACTATCAATTGTTTAGACAAAAATACTCCACCTAAAGCTAATGCTGGAGGAGATAAGACAATTGTATTGCCAGTTAGTGCTATTGTTCTCAATGGCTCATTGTCATGGGATGATTTGGCCATTGTAAAATGGGAATGGATTCGTGAACCTAATTCATTAGCTGCTGGAAATATAATTTTAAATTCGGACCATTCATCAGTTTTAATTGTGTGTATATTATATATAATTTATGTTCATTTAGTTTTAACTTAAAGTTAATCTAAAATTTTCTTTGAATAGGTAACAAACATTGTAGAAGGAAGATATGTATTCCGTTTAAAAGTAACTGACGACCAAGGAGCTTCTAGTGAAGATATTGTTTCAGTTAACATCAAGCCTGGTATAATAGTTTGCAAATATTGAATTGGTCACATACAAATTTATACATATGGTACTAGTCTACATTCATTTTCAGATCCTATTGCAAAGTCCATTGTATGCTTAACACTATATATTGAAGCAAGCCGTTTAACACAAAATCAAGCAAATGAGGTGAAATTAAAATTAGGAATGTTATTGCCAACTGGCAGTCAGTTAAAGGTTAGAAAATGGACAGAAGAACAAAATTCAAAAAGGGCCCAGTTACATTTCTTTGTTGTTGACAATAAAAATAAAACACTCCCAGGACCAGACGTAGTCTCTATGTTAAAATCCAAACTTAAACAAGATTCATCACTTTTGCAACTATCCGTTGATAATATTCAAACTACAGTTTGTCAAAATAATTGTTCAGGTTTGTGCATACAGTACTTAATGTTTGTTAATTGTTATGGTGTAGTTAATATGTGTAATAATAATAATAATAAAAAAAAAAATTTGGTGGAATATCTCCTTTGCATACACTTGCGCACACTTTTTTTGTAGAGTATGCTGGTACTTTTAAATATATCTAGCTTAATACAATAAATAACTTCTCAATAACTCTAAATAAAAATAACTTATAAGTAATACAAATACAAATCTAAATAAATAAATAAAAATTAACATGCTTAACTTATTTTTTTCTTTTAGATATTTTAATTTGAAAAATTTGTTTTATCATTGGGGATGTCCCCCCAAAAAAATAATTTAGTGAAACTTCCATATAACGAAGTTGAATAAGCTACCAAAAAAATTGTTATATGAAGGAATTCGTTAAATAGAATTACCTATTTTTTTTTT